CGCAGCAGTGTTACGAACAACAAACATGCTAAACACCTTCCATGATCTCCCCAGCGCCCCCCCCCCCCGCCCCCGCAGAGTTAAAAGATTGCCGAGGAAGGTTTTTCATTTATTCATAAAGGAGGGCGGCACATTTTGTCCTCGTCGGTTCACAGGGCACAACTAATTTTAATTCGCATTCCGACAGTGCTTCCCAACCGTTGAGTCAAGACACATGTTTGACAGGAGCAAAATCTCACGGCACCCCACCAAACAAAATTGTCGCAGATAGTACACAAACATTCCCTCTCAATTTACTCACTGATTTGACTTTCCGCTGTGTGGAATCGGGGCCTGTCAACTTCTTGTAATATTCCAAAGAGGTGGACACACAATTTAATTGCTCTGTGCCTGTCAATGTTTCTGGCATAGATAGATGAAGAAAAATGCATTCCTCGCAGTCAATATATACATATATAAGGCAAGGTGTGTGTGTGTGTGTGTGTGTGTGTGTGTGTGTGTGTGTGTGTATATATATATATATATAGATTTTTTTTTTCCATTTTGTTCCATTTACTATTACTATTGATTGTTGTAGTCGAGTTTCAAAATAGGGTTTCAAGGCAGGGTTAGGGTTTCAAGTCATGGTTTTAAGCCAGGTGCTGGGGTTTTCCAGGTTAGGGTTCGTTATGGTTTCCAGACTAAGTGAGGGGATTGGGTTTTTTTCTTCCTTCCCTTTCATATCTCCTTGTTTCCTTTCTTCATCCCCATGTGCTTCCTTCCTTCATCTTCTCTTCCTCCCTTGTTTCCGTCCTTCATTCCAGCCACACTGAGTTCTGACCTTCCGTCCTTCCTGCCTTTTTTCCTTCCTTTGATTCTTCCCTTCATACGTCTTTGTTTCCTTCCCTCCATTCATACCCCCCTTGCGTCCTTTTTTTCTGCAAACCATCCCTCTTTCTTACCTTTAATCCTTTCATACAGATTGTTTCCTTCCTTCCTTCCTTCCCCACCATGCGCGTTTCTTTGCTTCCCTCCTCTCCCACCTTCCGTCCTTCATGACTTAATTCCTTATAAAAGTTGATTTCACAAGCGCACACCGTTTGGCCCGCCCTGTATACTGTTGCTGTTTATGAGTGTTGACTTGGCCCGATTGGAGTGAGCAGCCAGCACAGAGGCGCTTGTGTAGTGAATGACCAACCCCGTGGCTAATTAGCAGAGCAACTCACCCACGCCACCTCAAATGTCCTTAATTGCGGCGGCATGCTCTGGTGGATGTTAGATGAAAGTGTATTATTATTGACTTTGCCTTCTTGTTCTGACCTGCCTGGAGAGAGATGCATTAGCCACTTTTGACACGATGCAACCACTTTGTCCAAAATTCTGCTTGGCAGTAGTACGGTTGGCATTTTGCCATCCCAATTACCCTTTCTGCTGGACTGCTGTCAAAAACACGCACAGACCAAAAAAAAAAAAAAAAAGCCAAAGAAGTTGAAACTGCTAGTTGGGTTTTTTTTGTCTCTATCTTTCATCATTTTCTCAATAATTTAGACCAAAGGCGTCAAACTCAAGGCCCGGGGGCCAGATCTGGCCCGTCACATCATTTTTTGTGGCCCGCGGAAGCAAATCAAGCATGTCAACCTGCATGATGCTTGAGAAAATCTCGACTAAAATTTAAAAATGTCATATGTAATAAGTCAGAGACAAATTGAAAGCATTTTCTTGTAACCAAACATCTCATTACAGTAACTTAAACAATAGTTGAGTCAACCGTTCTTCTTAACTTTTGTTGTTGTTTCAGTCATAACGGCCCTCCGAGGGAAACGGTCACTAAAATGTGGCCCACGACAAAAATTAGTTTGACACCCCTGATTTAGACCTTTGCAACTGTTTTTTTTTTTTTTTTTAAATACCGACAGCGTTTGCTGTCGGTATTTAAAAGAAAGAAAAAAAAGAAAGCGAAAAGACTTGGGTGGTGTCTCATTGTGTGCTGCGCCACTCCTGCGTCTGAAAATTTGAGCAATTAAAGATAAAACAAACAAGCACACCTTAGAATACCGCAAAGAACACGAGTCTATTCATATATTCCGTCCACATCCTGGTGTTTTCCACTGCTTGAGCTACCTTAAATTAAAAAAAAGGTTGTGTTTTGGATGACCATTTCAAATACATTTGTGCCATTTTAACAATCTGTCTTCATTGTAGTTGTTTTGCAGTATTTATTTAATTTTTTTATTCTTATTGGAGGTGTCCACAATGAATAGGCCAGTTGATGGTGCAGTGTGAAAAGGCCTTAAGTCTTCCGACTTGACCTCTCTCTCTCTCTCTCTCTCTCTCTCTCTCTCTCTCTCTCTCTCTCTCTCTCTCTCTCTCTCTCGTCCTCTCTCTCTATATATTTTATTTTACCTTGTCGTCTTCCGCAGAAGTTGAACAAGTAGTGAGCCTATTTTTGACAATGTAACGAGCAGCAACAATGGACACCCGGTTTCAAATGGAGTGAGTAAAATTAAAAAGTCGTCAGAGAAATAAACACTCAAGTACAGGCACGTGATAAATTTACTTTAACGCATTGGCAAAATATTTGTACTTTCTGACTTTTTACCCCCAGGAGTCAGACAATAGTTTTCAAGTTGTAGAGCGAATTGGGGGATAGCGTACCAACTTGCCATTTTAGAGAGACTGTGCACATAATTTCAATTAAAAAAAAACATTTTAAAAAAAGAGTTCAAACGAACCACTTGTCAGATGCCTTTTCCTCCGTCGTCCATCCGAAGCGATTGCCCGCGAGGCACGGCCTTTTTTCGTCGCCACAAAAAAAAAAAAAAAAAAATGCATTTGCAAAATGTCCCGAAAAATCTGACGATGGAAAGTTAACGTTTCTATTCAAGTCCCATTAGAAAGACATATGATTGAAGAGCCGGTATTGATAGAGTTCTAACAGTGTTATCTTATCGTCCAGCCGTTTATCTTTGCTCAAATCCATTCAGCGTTGAATATTTTCATCACGCCGGCCCATTTGCCCCATGGTTATGTGCTTAGCGATACCAGATAAGAGTTATTAATATGTATGCCGTCTGCTCTCTGGTCGGCGTTTGAGGGGAAACCGTGTTTGGCTCCAATTATACACACTTTTACCAAGTTAGATTGCCCGGGGTTGAGATTTCAGGGGTGAGATTATCCCGTTGCATCTTTATATGCGTTCATACATCGCGTTGTGATGACACAATTTGCATGTGGCTTTGTTTAATATTTTTCCGATATTTTACGAGATTAACCTCTTTGGTAAATACCAAGCCTCTCTCAAACTTAATCCAAATAATCCCAAATCAGTCTGCAGCGTCTTGACATCAAGTTGGGTCAAATTAGCGGTGAGGTGTCACTGCAAGTGAAATTAGCTGTGTCATTCTTGGTTTTCGTAGCAGTTTTATTCCATCCATCCATTTTATGATCCGCTTTATCCTCACAAGGGTGGCGGGCGGGTGCTGGAGCCTATCCCAGCAGTCTTCGGGCAGTAAGCGGGGGACACCCTGAACCGGTTGCCAGCCAATCGCATGGCACACAGAGATGAACAACCATCCGCGCTCACACTCACACCTAGCGACAATTTAGAGTGTTCAATAAGCCTGCCATGCAGGTTTTGGCAATGTGGGCGGAGACCAGAGTACCCAGAGAAAACCCGCGCAGGCCCGGGAAGAATAATGCAAACTCTACACAGGAAGGCCGGAGCTGGAATTGAACCCGGTACCTCTGCACTGTGAGGTCGACACACTAACCACTGGAAACGGGTTGCCCAGCAGTTTTATTATCGAGCTTAATTTGAGTTATCACTGAGTTTGTGTCTGTGCCTGAGAGTCCGTCTTTCTTGTATTAGCCTTCGAGGGATCTATCATGAGTTGTATGTCTCTGTAAGAGTCACTCTTTGAAGTAGTGGTAGTTTAGTTTGACTTGTCTTGATGTGTTTGTTATCAGTGGGTGTCTTTAGGAGTCAGTCTTCAGAGTAGAAGTGACAGTCAGCACAGTAACAATTACTATGTTGTGTGTGGCTGTCGGTCTTTGTTGCATCAGCCCATAAGTGATTCTGGATGAGTTTTTACCGAGTGTGTGTCACTTTAAGAGCCAGTCTTGATTTTCGTGGGTTTTGAAGTGGTTTCATTTGAGTTGTATCACTGAGTTTTGTCTTTTAAGAGGCAGTATTTCACTTAGCCTTGAAGTGATTTAGTCTGCACATGAACAAAAAGTTTGTCATGGGTGCCTGGCACTGCAGGAGTCACTATTTAATGTATTGGCCTTGAAGATGATTTAGTCTGAACTTTACTGTAACGTCAGTTTATCACGAGTGTGTCTCTTTAAGTGCCAGCCTTTTAGTTTGTCGCTTTGTTTGAGCTGAATTTGTTACCAGTACTTCTCTTTGAAGAATCTTTAGATAAATATATCACATGTCTGATGTTTTTATTTTTTTTTGTTTGTTTCATTATATGGCCAGATGTTGCCTTGTCCGATTTCGTGAATGAAATGGAGATACTGAGAAAATGGCATCACTCCTCCTGCTATTCATTCATTTTTGGCATCATTCATTCATAATCTGGCCGCACATCAATTATTCTCTCAGGCGTCGTCGATGCCAGGTTGGCATTGCAAATGACAATCTGTTCTCAATTGCTTTACCTAAATGGATAAATGAATGAAAAAAATAAAGGAGGTGCCGGAGTTCCTTTGCGTTGGATTTGAGATCAGCAAGGTTAACCTCACCTCGATTACGAGGGTGAGAAATACCAGCACGTTGGAAGTCAGACAAGTTTGGGCACCTCACACTCAGAGTATGTCCTATAAGTATCATATGAACAGAATATGATTCTCAGTCGAAAGTGTGTGTTGCAATCAGATGAAAAGTTGATGCAGTTCATTGAGGGAATGTGGGTTGTCATTGTAGTTCCATTTGAGGTGAATGTGTCAGTGCGTGCCACTTAAAATCACTTGAATGAATTACAGTACATTGAAAAAAAAAGTCTGTTGGATCATGACTTTTGCACAAAATAAAATCAAAAGTCATGTTGGTGGTAACATGATTTGAATGCGTGCAACCCATGTCCGTACTTGGTCTTTTTTTTAATGTAACCCTCAAGTGATTTTGCTTGTTTGTGCCTTTTCATCTTTTCGTTGTCCAATACAGTCGCGGATGTGGGCAAGTTTGTCCCACAAGGCTGTGCGTATCCCTTTAAGAGTCCTTCGGATGGCTCCTTGTTGATATTAATAGAGCTGCAGCTGTGTCTTCCTCTTGTGACGTCACGCCTCCGGCGAAAACGGCAGAGATGTCCTGTCACAGCAAAAGCGACAACACCGCCACACCGAACTAAAAATAACAAAAACAAAAACAACAACAAACCGGGAACTGCTTCTCTTTTGTCGGGCCGAGTGACACAGGATACCGAATGTGAGCCCCCAACTAACCCGCTTGGCGTGTTCTACTTTCAAAAAAAAAAAAAAACAACAACTCTTTATTTTAAAAAAATGAAAGAAAAGAAAAAAACAAACTCAGAGAGACACACAGCACGCCATCATCAAACAACATCAAAAACTACAAAGAAAGAGACGAAGCAGCCTGTTTTTGTGGTGCCTTTGGCTAGCCCCCCGGAGCTAGCTCCATCTTTAGCACGGAGCTAAAAAGAAGCTAATGTTCTTGTTCTGCAGATCAACAGGTAAGAAACACACTTAAGACTGTCAGAGTGGCGTCAAAAAAAGCAAGCAAAGCAAAGAAGGCGAATGGTAAGCTCGGAGTGCAGCCGTCGAAAAGCCGGTCCGGACCGGGACAAGTCTTGATGTGTTCGCTGCTTTTACGACAACGCGCGGCCGCTTGGCGACTTATGTAACTAACGGCGAGCTGCTGGATGAGGGAGGGAAGTAAAAAGAGAGGAGGAGAAGGAGGAGGAGGGAGGCAGGAAAGCTTTGAATTCACATGGCAGCTCACATTTTCGCTCGGGACAGCAATACAAAGTGCGCGAGCGAAGGGGGCTTCTGGTTCGGGAGGAGGGGGTACGATTCGGGCTGCTACCGCTTGGCCGCCAAAGTGAGCCGGGGAGCCCGCGGCGAGACCAGACGAGACACGGCGGTCGGACAGACGCGGTTGCGGTCGCCTCACAAGTAGTAGGTTGTTTTGTTGTCTGTCTTCTGTTTTAACAGAGTTGTTGGCATTGATTTTCTGCCCAGTGTGCTCGTTGTTTACTTTGCTTTCATTGATAAGTTTTTTTGTGAGGGTAAAGTGTTGGAAATGGTGCTTTCATGGATCAAAGCACTTGTTTTGCACCTCTTTCATTGTTGGGTCTGGGGGTGGGGTGGGGTGGGGGGCATGGACCATGATTGTTGCACCCCCTTTTTTCCCCCTTATCAGCTTTGAAAGTGAAACTCATCATGGCCTAATGTTTGTTGCAACTTTGCATGATGGATGCCCAAAAGCCTTTTATTTGCAATCAACTTTGCTCACCCCCCCCCCCCAAATCAAATGCCACCTTCACGAACCTAACCCCCCCTTCCTACTTCATTCCTCCCCTGTTGTAAGAAAGTGTGATGTTCCTTTGAGATAAGGGAGCCCGGGGTAGGCATGACAACTCTGTGGGGAGAGCAGAGTATGCGAGGCCAGCACAATGAGGCACACACTGCGAGCAAGGCTTTTTTAACACAGTCCTTCCACAGTTCTCCAGTCACCGCTTCACCCCTTTTTTTTTTTCCCAAAAAAGAAAAACAGAATTGCTCATGTGCGCCCACTTTTATGCATCATAACCTTAACCTTCAGGAGTTGATTCAAAGCTTACCCTACCTCATTGTAACCCTGGAGCAAAGCAGTAGATTGGCTTTAAAACGTATCATCACTGTGCCAGTAAAACATATGTTCAACAGTTTTTTTTGTTTGTATACGAAATGTGAAGGAAAAAAAAAACAATATGGTTGTTTTCTTGTTTGTTTTCAGTGAACAACGATGATACACATCTTTAACCAATCATTGTGGAGTTAGAAAAAAAAAAGACCAACGTTTCGGCATCTTAGACCCTAATACATCGCCATCAGTCATGTCAATCCTGCAAAATTTGGAGTAGCACAACAAACCATGTAATATGTGTACGTTTTTAGAATTTCAGGAATTTCAAAATTCCATTTTTTTTTCTTCATTTCATAGCAACGATACACATCTGCAGGTTCACCCTGTAGAGTTAAAAAGTGTTCAAGGAAAGGAAAGAAAAAAAACAGAAGAAAACTACTCGCCAATGAAAAGCATGTATTTCCTCAATTTGAGCTTCCGGTTCTCATCCAAAATGCAATAGAAGCCCATTTTTGCTGATTTTAATGGGCAGTGATGATACCCCGTGTGGGTTAAGCTTGTGGAGTCGAGAAAAAGTTTCCAACTACATTTCAACAATGTGCACCGGGGAAAAAAAATGCACACTAAAAAAAAAACATACTATCCAAAGCAAAGTGTTTATTTCCACATTCTGTGTTTATAGTTATGATCTGAAGCAACCGTCGGTTGACCCTGTGGAGCTGTAAAAAGTTAGTTGTAGTGTCTGACGGAAAAAAAAGTATGTTTCAGCCACATTTTATATGCCTTTTGTTTTATACAAAACAAAATAAGTCATTGTTTTGTTTTATTTTACCCTCTCTCCATTGGACAGCGACAAAAATGCATCTGTTGGTTAACCCTGTAAAGGAATTCAGGAAGATTGCTCTGGAAAATGATAGCGTGTAATGAAAAGTGTCGACTTGCCTCAGTTTGTCTGCTTTTAGTGTTGATCTGACGCCCAAAGAAAAGCTTGTCTTGGTTGCTGTGGGTTAACGTTGTCATGTTGAGAAAAAGTGATCAAGTGTGTTTCAGCATCTTGAATCCTTAAAACTCTTACCCGAATGTCCAATGAAAATCACAGGTCTCCACATGTTGTGGGTTTCTTTTGTACATCGTCCGAAAAGCCACAGAAAGTCATTTGTTTAGCCTTCCCGGCTTACCTCGTGCAAGTGAAACATTTTCAACCACGTTTCAATACCTATTAAGTCTCCGTAATTATTACTCAAAGCCACGGCTTTCAAATATGCCTGAATTCAAGATAAGTCAACTTTGCTAGTTTTTTCTGTTTAAACTTGTGGAGTTGTAGGAAGTTTGGTTGAGTAACCTACATTTTGAAAAATAAGCACGAAAACTCATGTGTCCAATGAAACGCCCAGAAGTCCATGTTCTGTGCGTTTTCTGCGATTTAAAAAAACAAAAAAAAAACAAAAAAAAAACATTTTTTTGTGCGGGGTATCTAAAATGTAAAAAATAAATCCAGTTGTTTTTCTTTGGACAGTGATGATGCGCACCTTTTGGAGTTGGGGAAAAAAGTAGTGACTTAAATGAAGGTAAATTAGTTCTAAAAACCGTCGTGTCTCATGAAAAGGAAGTATGCCCACATTTTGAGTTTTCTGTTTTGTGTCCCAAACTGGCAGAAAATAAGTAGGCCTTGTTTGTCTTTTCATTTGACGGCGACAATAAAGATCCCCTGGCGGGGTGAAAAAAATGTTTCAGGTGTAAGCATTTTTTTTTTAAAGTTGAGTTTAATCATGGAAAATGAGCATTAAATCCTTGGTGTCCAATGTAAAGCACGTAACTTAAAATCGTTTTCTGCTCTCTTTGATTCTCAGCTATTTTCTACATGTTTATCTTATAAATTGTGGCTGTATCTCCAAATTTTGCAAGATTTTGTCCATCAAGACAAAATATTGTGACTTAATTGATTATATTCCCCCCCAAATATCTGCAACCAGATTGACGTAGTCACAGCTCCTCAGGGCTCAGTGTTCAGCCAACTTTTTTTTTTAACGGACTTTGTCCTGTACCCTAACCTTCTCACACGTTTCACAGCGTCCCGTTAAAAATCCACCACACCGAAAGTATCTCTATAATAATGTCAAATATTGCTCCTTTTCCGTCCAGGCACTGGATGTTATTGTCTCACGGCCTTGTTCGAAGCCACTATTAAACCTCAAACCAGTTGATGACCTCTTAAATAGAACGTCTGCTTATAAAACGCTTTCCCGTATGTGTGTGTGGGAGAGAACACAGCACTTTTGTGTGTGTTTGAGTGTGTGTGTGTGTTTGCGCGCGCTCGCATTATGGAGACAACCACGGATTACTCATATGGCTGCAAGATGTGAAGCCTCTGCGGTGCAACTGGGCCGAGGAGAAAGTTTTCTGGTCGCGTGGGAGAAAAGTGCGAGGGCCTCGGACACGGGAGTGAGTAGGGGAAAGTCGCAAGCGCTTGGAATGCATCTCGCCATCATTTTATTGACGGTTTGACGCGCTGTACGACACGGAGGAACAACTGTAGTGATTTTGCGGGCTGCCGCGCGTTTGTCTTTTGGTCGCTTCCGAGCAGCTCGGCGTTACGGGGGGAGGACGATGGGGAGCGCAAGTAGACATTACTCCTGGCCCGTTCAACTTTTGAGGCTGGATGGCGGTGGCCACGATCTCGTGGAGCTTCATGATGCACGACACTAGGTAATTCGCATCTGACGATATGAGTTTAAACAAGTTTGTCATTTATGTAGAGATTGTTTGGAACTTTCCAACAGGGCTTTGCTAACTTTTTCGGTTCAAGAATGACATTTAAAAATTCCTCCCAGGGACCACATATTGCAATATTGCATATAAACAAACGGTAAATGGGGTTAATTCGAACATACACGAGACATAAAGCCACAGGCGGAGATTTTTTTTTTTTTTTTTCTGTGGTGCTGCTTAATCAAATGGCTTTGAATGAATTTGACTGATCAGTTTCACTGATTTGATGTTTATATCCGTGTAGGTATTTTGTGCGTTATGTGGAGGTGTGTGACGTACATATCGGATTGCACTTCTTGATGAATAGTTTAATTGTGAAAGCTCGTAACTATCGGCATTCAGGGTGTTTTAGTGTGTGTGGGGTTTTTTTTTTTTTTTTTTT